CCCTTCACAGTCATTGCTACCAGTGGTGAAATAATCAAAGACCACCAGGAACCTGTGATAACTGTGAGAAAAGCTCATGCAGAGCCTAGATACAACATTCGTATCTATCTATTATAAAGGAGTTGCAGAGAACTCAGAATCTGTGTACTGCTGCAAGTGAAGCAGTGACGATGAACAGGCCTTGATGTGGCTGACAAAGAATAGTAGGAATTAAAACTTCATAGAAGACTTAAGAAACAAAACTTCATGATCCACACCTACACCTGAAAAACAACAATAACAAAAGAAATGACAATTAATATGGAACAAATATGGTCAACAAAATCTCGAACAAAATCAACTTCTGAAAGCGAGAGATCAGTTGAAGGATCACAACCTAGTATGAAATCCTCTGTCAAATTCATCATAGTCATACCCAAGATCAGAGGATGGCCAATTGTTGAGGCTGATGACACAAATGACAGACAACACATTGACTGTGACCAAATTGATCAGAAATCAATCGAGAAAACACATCACATGGCAACAGGATGGAGCCAAGGCTTGACTAAGTGAAAACTGGATGATCAAAAGTTTCGAAATTATGAAAGATTGAGAAAGGAAGACATGGGCTATATCTATCAAAGTCTTGATGAATGGGCACTCCAGGACTATTGGCAGGAAAGATATCATATTGAAAGACTTAGAGCAGAGGCAGCTGAACCCAGAAAAGCACATGCAGCTAAATAGATCAATGATCTCATCAAAACAAACAAGCACTGAGTGAAGTGATCAATAAGTTGAGGTGAAAGATAATGAAAATATTGAAGAAAAAGTTCAAATCTTTTAAGCATCTTCATCATCAATTTGCGGTAAAAGTATTTAAAAATAACTTTAACATCTTTGATTGTGAAAGATGATGAAAAGATTGAACGAAGATTGGGTGAAAGATTAAACAATCATTTCTTTAATCATTTGACAATCTTTCAGACAAAACTATGATGAAAAGTTTTAAAATCTTTTTTTACTTCTTTTTTGATCAAAGATGATGAAAATATTGTGACTATGTCACACCCTTGATTTCATATACTAAGCTAGTAGTAAGATATGGAGGTTAATACTCAGGATTATATATTAGCACTATACTAGCATTAAGGTCTGAAGGTTAGTACTATGCTAGTACTATGCTAATATTAAGGTCTGAAGGTCAGTATTATGCGAGTACTAAGCTAGTACTAAGCTCTGCAGTCTAGTACTACAGTTTGAAGGTTAGTGCTATGCTAGCACTAATCTAGTACTCAAGTTTGAATGTTAGTACTATGCTAGTACTAAGTTAGTACTAAGATCTGAATGCTAGTACTAAGGTTTAAATGCTAGTACTAAGTTAAATGTTAGTACTATGCTAGTACTAAGGTCTAAATGCTAGTATCACACTAGTACTAAGGTTTAAATGCTAGTACTATGCTAGTACTAAGGT